TTCTGCAAGAAGTACTTTGTTATGAAATTTTCAAATGTTAGAAAAGTAAAAAAAGAAAAAAAAAATCATTCATCAGCTGGCTACTCTGTGCTGGATGCATAAAAGAAATTGTTCCCTCTTGGGCTATTTACCCATCTCATATTAGGCAGCACCAAAGAAACTAAAAACATCAATTGAAGTTTTACGTGCATGCGTGTAACAACTACCCCAAATAGGGTTTGTCAACAGCACATTCACACACTAAAACAAGAAAGAACTGAACATGTATCAGGTGTCAAATCACTATAAAAATCGAATTAACTTTCACAGGCATGTGCTAGCGTGCCAGTTATCGTTGTATGAAACCAACATCTACAATTAAGTCAGATTCCAAAGCAGATGAATTCATATTTGTTATGAACTATCTAGAGCAACAAGAAATATCAACTAAAACCCATAAAAAAGAGTCCTAGATGATTGTAAATCTTTTTATCTCACTAGATGAGTTTACATGTCTGAAACCATAATAGCAAGCTAGCAGCATATTCTTCCAACTGTACTCCCACACTTGGTCCAGAAAATTTCAAGCATAATACTAGCTCAACATAAAAATTCAGAATGTTGAGGTGTTTGGCTTGAAAAGGTAAGAACATAGCGTAACTTCAGAAATATAAAAATACTGAGCCAGAATAACTCCAAAAATATGTGAATTACCCAGCTAAAGCAGCTACCACAAGCGAAGAGAACATCCCAACTGTTCCATCACCTATCCCCTTCTTCTTATGTTCAAGTGCTGTAGCTTCAGCTCTATTCCTGAATATTTGATAGAAATAATAGTAAACACCCTGTATCAAGGAAATGATAGACACATAAGACACCGTGCAATTAAATAGACAAAAATACTATAAAATTCATATTATACATATAAAGGAACCCTTTATATTTTTTGTGTTAGCCAAGGTTATCTGTTGCATTCCTCATCATGCACATCTATCAAAGGGACAATAAAATGATAAAAACACATAAATCAGTCCCTGAGGACAGACACACCCGTCTTCTTTTTTCCAGAAAAGCTCCAGTATAAAGAAGATAATCTCAAATCAAGTCAAACCAAATCTACATGCAATGAAAGCAATTATGAGCTTTACGTCATAACATAACAAGTCCAAACATACTTTCAATCAAGCTTTGATTATAGATGGATACGGGGTAGGTGTGGGTGCAAACATATAAATTGCCATATGCCATTTTACATAGGGAACCTAAGATAAAAGAAGATCATGATTTAATTCAGTACCATCATGGCAATAGCATGTAGCACTGTGGGCCATTATGAATAATCAGTCCTAGAATTTTAGATTCACTTCAAGGGAACCTCTTGGTGATCATTAGCCCTTATCCTTCAAAAAGTTGAAAAAAGAAAAAAAATGGCATAGACATTGTAAGTTTGTAATAGAACTAAATACAACGATGACAAATCTTCCACTACCATTGAACCACATACCAGGTTATTGAAAGTCAAGATGGCCAATCAATAACTGCTTTGTTCCAGTGTTTTCAGTATTCAAAAGAATGTATATCACAAAAGAACCAAAGATAAGGCAACATTACAACAGTTTTCACCGTTTAATCATAAAACTAAACTCCAAAAGCTCTAATGTTATCGATTTTCTTAGCTTTTCCATCATGTCCTCCACAAACAAAAGGAAGATTATAGAAGCGCTCAAAAGACAATAAGATACTATAAACAATGTTGGATATAATCTTTATTTACTTAGAATAACAGGATATAAAATAGAAATTGCTTGGAGTAATCTTCAATAAACTGCATATGCCACGGAATTCAATAATTCTAACCAGAAAGCTTCGAGAAATAAAACAGCGTTACCTGAGATGCAGCTGTACCCACTAGAGACGGTGTTAAACCTCCATACAACCGTCCCCATCCCTCTTGATTTACAACCTACGCACAAATAACCCTCATTAAACAATTTTTTGAACTAAAACCTTCCAAAATTAAATTTCAAGCTTGCGTTTCTCAATTCAGCCTCAGATTCCCAAACTTTAGCTCATACCTAGATATCACCTTGTGCTGCGAATAATTTCTTTGGACAAAACTTCTAGGCGAATAATAATTAAAAAAAAAACCACGAGAATACTTCCTAAACCTGGCACATTTGTTCAATCGTTCCGAGTTTCCTCTTCTCCTTCTTCAGATCACGCTCCGTTTGTTGACGAGTATTTACCTATACACGTCCAAGCAAAAACAAACATTACAAAAATCAAATAAACAAATAACAAATCATTTCCAGCAAAAAATACATATTCCAAAAATATTATAGGCAAAAAAATCACGAATCGCACAGTTTGAAGAGGATAAGTGATAAGCTGAGCGATGATCCCACCGCCGGCTCCAGCCAGTCCATTGATCAAAGCATCCGACATGAGTCCCAAACTTTCTCGAGAAAATGCAATAAAGTATCACTTAAATTCCTCGGAAAACCAAACAATCAAAGCAACACCGTACACTAACAAGATCTAGGATTCTATGAAGAGAAAAAAATAGAAGAGTAGTGTCTAAGAATTTGGCAGCAGCTGTGTTGAGAAGGAAGTTTTTAACGGCGTGATGATGGTGTTCGATATCAGAGCAGTGGCCAGCTGGTCTACGTTTTTGGTAGTTCCGTTGAAGAAAGTAAATGACGCTAGTTCTCAAAGGTGGTGGCCTTTCTGACGATTAGACTGTTTTGCCCCTAGAAGAGTGGTGGTTTGCCGGTTTTGCCCCCGGGAAAATTACATGAACGTCTAGTTATGCGCACAGTTCCGAATCTTTTGACGACACCCTTCTTGGGATGCGTGTCCGAATTTCATATCAACTTGGAGAGTATACTAAAATAATAATTTTCTTATTTGATAAAAATCTATAAGCGAGAAAAAAAAATATAAATTACCATTTATATAAATAAAAATTTTATAAAAATAAAAATATCATTATAGTTGCAGTGAATCACAAAATTTTATTTTAAACTATATATTATCAAATTAATTTTATTTTATAAAATTAAGAAATTAGTACTTGACAATCTCTATATTTCTTTTATATAAATAAATAAATCATTAATTTTTTAAATTATGATATTGTAATATTATATTTTCATTAATTTAAAATTTATTTTTATATATTTATTTTAAATTATAAATTTGTGTAAATTTACCCCAATTTATTAAAATATCAAAAAATGTAAAATTAAAATAATAATTAAATAAAATCCTTTTAGGTACTAAAGCATCGCAAAATCTATAACATTT